TCAGTTTTAGGCATGCTCAGTGCAAGAAGCCTTAGACAGATGGGTGGAGACATGGTGAAAAGGCAGCTGGGCATACATGTCAGAAAACTTAATCCTGACTCTTGTATATTAATTGTAGAAGAGAAGAAGGTTATTTAACTTTTCTCAAAAACGTTATTATCTATAAAATGGGGATAATAATGCCACTGTGTGGACTAAATAACATTATGACAAATAGCTTAAACCATATCTGAGACACAGCAGATGTTTGATAAGAGCTATCCTCACATTCACACCTCTGTGTAATAAATGCTGGAATAGCTACAAAGCATATGGCACTGAAGGGATACAATAATTAAATAGGAGGTGCTGCTTTTGAAGAAGTTTCCTCTCTAGAATAGGAGATAAACAGGTATGTGAATAACTATCTTAAAAAGTGTTAGATGCCAATGAGACATACAAAGAAATGTATAGAGAGATGAGATAACTTCAAGCTAAAAGGGCTGAGAGGAAACATCTTAAACAAGAGTCCCTTAATCTGGGCCTTTAATGGATTGTGAGGGTTCGAACATAGAGAAATGGCTGGAAGGGTCTTCTAAGCAGAGAGAACAGGAGGAGCAGAAGCACTGCAGAAGAAAGAACGGGCAAGACAGGGACACACTGTGGAAGGCTTTGCTGGCCAGTCACCAGCTTTTCATTTTGAAGAAAACATTCCCTATTTCTGATAAACATACCACATCACTTTGTGAACATTCAGGAGGAAAAGCTGGGGTAGGGTGGAGAACAGACAAAGCAAACCATAAAAAGATCCATGTCTGTTTACTCTTGGTAACTTGAACTACACTAGCAGCAGCTAGACAGAATGTTTCCTGTGACCAAATGTAGGTCAAGGGGTTGGAAGACACTCCCACAGGATGAACCAGGATAAATGAAAGACTAAGGTTTTGTGGGGTTGAGCAATTTATATCAACGCAATTTACAACAGTTGCTGGGCACAATGCAAGAGGAGAATTATAAAGACAGCTTCTATGATTCATTTCATAGAATACAAAAAGACGCCTACAATTAGACAACCGACTTGAATAAGGCTTTCTAAAAAGGAGTGATGAAAATGACAATCACACCCATGGCTTTTAGATCAAACGGTCTATCACTTATTATGCCTAGCTCAGTTTCCAAGCACCTAGAAAAATGCATAGCATATGTTCAATAAACCTTAGCCGAAGGAACACATATGACTAACACATATGACTACATGTAAGTTAAATATTTATTAAGCATCTGATTTGATCTGGCTAGATTTGAGATATATTCTTGACTAGAATGAAAAATTATTTCACATCTTTTTTTGGTGGGTGCACTAAGCTACCCTTTCAGCAGAAATGAACATATTCCAATCAAAACTCATTACCTTTATGCCAAAATAACCTGCTCTTGGTTCCATCTACAATGTATTTGTCTACACCTTTCTTTTCTCCAAATGTCCCAATATCATCGTTAGAAGAAAGGAGCTGGGCTTTCCCTGCTGATTTATAATCCTATCATAACTGTTCTGTATTTTTGTTTCTTATATCCATGGGTCTGTTTCTAGGTCTTCTGTCTTGGCTTCCTTAATTGGTCTATTCCTAAGTCATCTGACTCCTGCTTTACAGACAGTGATATGATTTATATAAAACCCACTATTCTCAAGTATTTATTCTTCAAATTATCTAATTTCCCTAAAAACCACAATCCTACCTGCACTGCAGTGACAGATTAACTTTAGAGGAATTAACATCTTTACAATGTACTATCCAAACAAGCAGATGGTTTCTCCAGTTATACTTCTATATCCTATAGTAAGATTTTGTAGTTTTCTACAGAGGTCCTATACACTTTTTTCACCTGTATCCTAGATATTTCAGAGTTTTTGTTGCTTTTGGAACTGGTTTCCTTTTACTATTATATTTTCTAACTGGTTACTATTGACATAAAAGAAAGTTATTTAATGTTTTTATACATCTCATATTTATTTCCTGAGGTTAATAAGAGTTAACAACTTCAGTAGTTTTTCAACCTTTCTGCAAATAGAAACTTCTACTGAGAGATGAGATGACTCTCTCTTTTTTTTGAGTTGGAGTCTCACTCTGTTACCCAGACTGGAGTGCAGTGGCCGCTCCCGGCCACCACAGCCTTGACCTGTTGGGCTCCGGCGATCCTTCCGCCTCAGCCTTCCAAGTAGCCGGAATCACAGGCATGTGCTACCACACCCGGCTGATTTTTTTGATTTATTGTAGAGATGAGGTCTCGCTGCCCAGGCGGGTCTCGAACCCGCGAGCTCAGGCAATCCACTCACCTCAGCCTCCCAAAGGCGCGGGATTACAGGCTGAGCCACTGAGCCCAGCTTGAGATGACTCTCTTTTATTGAATAAATATTTTAAATATATCTTGAACCTAACAATTTACACACACACACACACACACACACACACACACACACACACACACAGTATGTATCAGTTTCCCATACTTTGTGCAAGTAAAATGGTCCCATACAAAAAATACTTCATGTTCATTCCTTAGCAAGAGCTCAGCCAGGCTCACTTCTTGTGCTTTCTTGCTTCAGAGCAATAGGACAGCTCAGCACAAGGGATGAGCCATTCTGTTCAATTCTACCTTCTTCAGACATCCAACTTTTCAAATAGCTATGATATTTACCCTAATTAGGATCAAATGAGGCTCTTTTCTGCTCTATAATATACTCAAGGGTTCCCGTGCCTGAGTACTTCATCAAGGAACAGGCTGTCACTAGATGGCTCTTTTCTTTTCTGTGTCCATTTAAAAAAAGAAAGAAAGAACCCTTCAACTTAGTTCTGCCACAACAGTCTCCTTCAGCTAATTCAACTGTGTCTAATCTTCGAATCAGTTCACTGATAAGGGTCAAATGTTTTTCTCCTAATGGATAACAATTATACTTTAAACTGGGGGTTTTATAAGCAGGTTTTCTATCTTTAAAATGCCACATGGTATTCTTCTAACATCCCTAAAGATTTAAAATTATATTGGAATATTTAAATAACATTTTAAAAATTAGCAAAATATTTCTAAAATCATGTCATATATAGTGGGTTTTTATCTCTCTCTCTATCAAGAGACAGTCAGCCTATCCCCAGCTAATACAGATTTGTTAGGTAAAAGACTTGAGAGTGACAAGATTTTGGAATAGCAGATAAGGGAAATAAAAGAGGCGATGCCTAAGATCAAACTGAAGGAGGGGCTGTGAGCATCCAACAAAGGACTGGGTCACCCAAATCAGTACTAACACAAATCTGTATCATTGTGTAACATATTTAATTTGGTTATGTTAACCTATTTTTTAAATCAAGTAGGTTAAAAAATTTATGCAAAATTTTTAACAAGAATCCCAAAATATAAACTAGAGACACAGAGCAGATGTGGTTTCAGTGAGACAGAAGAACCAAGCTCCTTGGGAATCTAAAGGTCAATGTAAAAATTTATAATGTTACAATAATATTAACTTTAAGTTGCTAATGTTAACATTTCTGTTATCAACATTCATAAACTAATAAGAGTATTCTTTTTGTATCTATTTTCTACTCAATTGCTTTTTAAATTTATTTCTCATTTATTATAATTCAAGTATTCAAAAATATCAATTTCTCTTAGTATAGTTTTAGCCACATGACTCAGGTTTCTTTTCTATTCATGTTGCTTGTTATTTTCCTCATTTTTTTTCAGGTATTTTTAACTTTCTTCTTTACTGAAATATTATTACTGACTCAATAAGTATGTAATGCCACTATACGCGAAGCACCAAGAATACATGATGAACAAGACCAATGTTGTTGCTATTCTCAGGAAAGTTAAATTTTCTAAGTGATTGTGGTTTTTTTTTAAAACTTACACAACTAGTTCCTATTTTTATTACACTATGATGACAACAGTGTGACCTGGGCTATTCCCTCAAATTCACTAAGATTTTCACAGGGACCCAGTATTAATTCTGTTCATTAGCTAATTTTTTAAAAGAATATCTACTATTCAAAAGTTGGATTGCCAGTATTTGTTCTTCTTGTGTTTGTATTCAACATATTGCTAATTTGGTAAACTAAAGGGGTAAATAGAATTTACTGCTCATTACTTATGCTGGCCAGATACTCAAGACTAACACTATATCTTGTTCAAAGGAGAACTGTTAGACATGACATTAATAATATAAAGCCATACCTTCAATTTCCTCACCTGGTATCAAAGTATTAGCAAATGTCCCTCTAAAAGATGGCAAACAAGTAATTTCATAAGGGTTTGTATTGCATTTATCTCATAACAGACATTCAATCTGTCTTGGAACAGGACCAAGGGCCCCACCCAGTACCATGCAGGGAATGAGTCCCCTCTGAAGAAACAAAAGCCAGAAGGTATTTCCACTACTCAGTTGAATACTGATGTTGAATGTAGAACACCACACAAAAATGAAACGTACAGAAGAAAAACGTCTGTTTGTCTAATCTAGGGAATTCAGGCTGACCTAGGTCAAGGACCTTTGAACCAAAGAAAGTCCCATGAGGTACCAAGAAGCAAAATGAGAATCTGACTATAGAAGCTGGGAAGTGGCTGTACATAAGGGACGAATAAAGGAAGGGCAGAAAAAGGAAAAGAAGAAAGAAAGGGTGGCAAGAGTGCAGGCTCCAGGGGGCCAGCTTTCAAGTTACAAAGGGTTGCAGAAATTTCCATTAGGGTTAGAAAATGCTTTCCATATCAGAATGTCACATAAGAAATGTAACTGCTATACATTTAGACATTTTATACAAGACGACAACTTAAAAGCAGAGGTGATTCTGGTGACTTACATGGTATTATAAAAGATGACTTACAAGAAGAAAAGTTCTAAATTTATAAAGAAGTTTTCAACTAAATGTTGAATAATGTGTAATAACAGTTTTTCACTTAAACTACTACATCCTTTAACCACCATGTTAGAAGGGATAAAACAGCCTACTAAATCAAAGTTTTAATCTTACCCTGAAAAATCAGCCGAATATTGTCCATAATCAAAGATATAGACTCTAGTAATTTGGCACACTGTGAGGTATCCCAAAGCAAACACAAAACAATATCTGGAAAACAAAAATAAGCTAGATTAGTGAAAATGAAAGATTCATTTTGTTAAAGAGTACATTTTAAGGTAATTTATTAACTAAAGAATATGGTTCAGAAATTAAACGCAGCTAAATCTACTCTACAAATAGCTTTCTTTAATAAGTTATGAAAATTCTTTACTAGTTATCTGCTTCAGTTTACTTGAATACAACTTTCAATAGTAAATCCACTTATTGCCTTTATTCATTTCCTTCAGAAATTCATACACCAAATTATATTTCAAAATGATCACAAGCATAAAAATGTGATTTTTGGTATGTGTCCTATTTATTCCTCCTTCTTTCTAGAAGACAAAATCTAGCACAAAAATATTTAACGAAGATATACATTAAACAAATTCTTAATAGGATTCTTAAAACTTTTCCTCAATAATCTAAAAGAATACGTTCTTAGAATGGATCAGGTGGCATTTACATTTTATAAGAATGAGCACTTAGTGACTTTCATATACTTTCATATGCTTGAGACAGGTTTACAATAATTAAAAACATAGCTGGGGGGGAAGAATTTACATGTCAATAGAAGAGAACAGAAACCCAGTAACAGATTCTAGAATATTTAACATTGCACAGGATAAAGGCTGCAATGCAAATTATTTGGGAATGGGTATTATCTAATTCGTTAGCAATCTGGGTGGGGGAAAAAAGCTATGCCTTCATCTTATACTAAAATAATTCTAGCTAGATTAAAGAATTATATATAAAACCACAACAAATAGGAACTGTGGCTAAATATTCAAATGTTCTCAAATTGGGGAAGGACTTTCTAAACATATATGATATAAGATAAATCAAGCCGGGCTTGGTGGCTCAGCCTGTAATCCCTCGCCTTTGGGAGGCTGAGGTGAGTGGATTGCCTGAGCCCGCGGGTTCGAGACCCGCCTGGGCAGCGAGACCTCATCTCTACAATAAATCAAAAAATCAGCCGAGCGTGGTAGTGCATGCCTGTAATTCCGGCTACTCAGAAAGCTGAGGCGGAAGGATTGCCGGAGCCCAGCAGGCAAGGCTGCGGTGGCTGGGAGCGGCAACTGCATTCCAGTCTGGGCGACAGAGTGAGACTCCAACTCAAAAAAATAAAAAATAAAAATAAATTAATAAATAAATCAAAGGAAAATGTATTTAGCTAAAAAATATACTTGGCTAAATTAAAATCTTAAACTTGTCATACAGGCAGTTCAAGTGGCTTTATGAAAGTCCTTTCAAACATTTGACAAATAATTAATTATAACCTTTTTAATTATTCCTGAGCAAAGAAAAAGGGAGGAATGTTTTCCAATTCAAATGTTTAACAAATTTAAAATATTCATGATTGCTATATCTAACAATATAGCACATATGCATTCACAAAATGCTGACAAATCCTACAAAATTATTTCTAAAAATCACATGCCAGACTATACTTTCCAAAGATGGCCGCAACAACAGCTCTCACTTCATATGCTCTTCTGCAACCTGTCCTGCCCTCTATCAAAAGTCAGAGTCTATTTCTCTACCCACTTTGAATCTGGACTGGCCTTCTAACTGCACTGACCAGTAGTAGACTATGGCAGAAGCAACACTTTGCTAGTTCCAAGTGTAGCTCATAATTAGCCTGGCAGTTTTTACTTCTTGCCTTTTGGAAGTCGGCTGCCATGAAAGAAGTATGACTCTACTGAGACCACTGCCTGTAGAGATTCTGGAGGATGAGAGACCATGTGGAGAAAGAGAGAGAGAGCGAGAAAGAGAGGGGTGGAGTGGGGGGGGGGCGAGAGAGACAGAGACAGAGACAGAAAGGCAGCACGTACGAAGGAGCACCAAGTGGTTAGACACGTGAGAGAAGCAGCTGATTCCACATAAAAGAGATGATCTATCCAGATGAATCCTTTCTGGATTACTGACCCACCAAGTCATAAGCAAAATAATCTGTTATATCAATTTGTTTTAAGCTACCACAGTTTTGTTGTACTGACATAAGAAGAACAGAAATTAGTAACTGAAAACAGGGTGATACTGTAACAAATATCTAAAACACACAGCTGGCTAGGACTGGGTAGAAACAGGAAAAGTCTTGAGGATACAGCTAGTTTAGACTTGAAGGACAGGAAGGAAACTGTGACTACAAACTAGAGAAATGGCAGCCCATGTCACACAGTGGCAGAAACAGTGCCAATGTTGCCTATGGAAAACAGAAAATATACCTAATGAATATGACAGCTGGTTTCTTTTGGATGCATATGGTAAAGACAGAAATGAACCACAAATGAAAAGTGCTTAGGTTTTTTAAAAGAGTATAGAAAAACAGGAAGGGCCCAGGATAATCTTTCCTGTCAAAGAAAATATTCTTTTTTTTTTTTTTTGAGTTGGAGTCTCACTCTGTCGCCCAGGCTGGAGTGCAGTGGCATATTCACAGCCAACCCAGTGTCAATCTGCTGGGCTCCAGCAATCCTTCCACTTCAGCTTTCCAAATAGCCAGAACTATAGGTGGCGCTACTACGCCCAGCTAATTTTTTATTTATTGTAGAGACGAAGTCTCACCAAGTTGCCCAGGCTGGTCTTGAACCTGTGGGCTCAGGCAATTCCCTTGCTCAGCCTCCAAAAGTACTGGGATTATAGGCTGAGTCCCTGAGCCCAGCCTAGGAAAATATTCTTAAAGTAATCAAGGTAAAGATGAAGTCAAAGGTAGTCTTTGATGCCCTTTCAGAAAGATTTAAGGTCAGACCTTTATAGAAGATCTCAGATAAAAAACACTTCTAAGAATCCAAAGGGCATGTCTCTTTCTCTGACCAAAGTAGAGAGAAGGCTGACTAAAAGAGATCTGTGGGTGTTGTTTCTGTCAGAATAGTGGATTACAATTAGAAAAACACAACTTTTAAAAGAACTTATACAAGATTGACTGAAAGTGAGAGACAATTCAAAATGAAAAGAGATCATTAGGTCCTCAATTTTCTACCCAAAGGTAGCCGGCTATGAAAGTGACCATTTTTCTTAGGAAAAAGGAAGGCTAGATCAGGGTTGGTATAAACAGCCCAGATGGTGGAGCCAACAGTCACAGAGAACCACTCCAGGAACTAAGTTTGAGGTTCTAATCAAGGAAATGGTAACATGAGTCTGTCTAGATTTCTTAACTGCTATGGAATAGGGATTAATAAGTGCCTTATCTTCCCAATTTTTTTTTTAAACAGAAGTGTCTCTTGCAGTTATCCTATCACTGTTTACCACTGAATACAAGGTGTGTGAGGGGCAAAAACCCTGCCCCTTAATTCGCTAGTTCTCAGATCAAGAACTATACTGGAAGGGCTTCCCCAAGAAGGCACATCTATGCTAGACCTCACTTAGATGACAAGATAGAGAATTTGAGCTTGATGTCCTAATGAGATGAGATTTCAAGAGGGAAATGGTATATTTTTTATGCAGAAAGTATAGAATTGTGGGGATGAGGTCTGTCTCCCAAGATTGCTGCCATCAATAACAACCTTCCCTATTGCACATGCTTAATTCTTTATACCAAGAGTTAAAATATAATTCTTGGTATGGTTTGAATATTTGTCCTCTCTAAACCTCATGTAGAAATCTGATCCCCAGTGTTGGAGATGGGGCCTACCAGAGTGTTCGGATCAGATGGGCAGATCCCTCATGAATGGATTAATGTCTTTCATCGGAAAAGGTGTTAGGGTGTGTGAGAGAGTAAGCACATTCTCACTCTATTAGTTCCCTCAAGAACTATTTGTTGAAAAGAGTCTGGTATCTCCCTTCTAGCTCTCTTTCCTCCTTTCTGGATAGGTGATCTCTGCACAAGTCGGCTCCCTTTCCCTTTCTGCCCTGAGTGGAAGAGGCCTGAAGCCTTTACCAGATGCAGATGTCCAATCTTGAACTTTCCAACCCTTTAGCCATGTGCCAAATAAACTCTTTTTTCTTTTTAAATCACCCAGTGTGAGGTATTCCTTTATAGGAACAAAAAATGGAGGATTAAGACAATTCTTCTCCCCTTGAATCTGTGGACTTCCTCACTTGCTTTACCGATAGAATGCAGTGAAAATGCACTCCTGAAACTTTAAGGCTAGATCATAAGAAGTCTACAGCTTCCTCCTGGTTTCCCTAGAATGCTTATCCTTGGTACCTACTCTCTTAGAGCCCTGACATCACGTTGGGTGAAGTACAAGGCCACATGGAGAGGCCACATGTAAGGGCTCCAGTCAATGATCCCAGCTGATCTCCCAGCCATACAAGGTCCCACCGTGGATGTCAAGCACAGTAAAGCTTTTAAATGACTGCAGTCTCAACCAACACTTAACAGCAACCACATAATATTCCAGCAAAAGTTGTCCAGTTGAGTCTAATGAACACACTGAACCATGAAAAAACAATAATAACAAAAAACAATAATAAGCCACTAAGTTTAAGGTGATTTACCATGCTTCAATAAATAACTGAAATCGTTTCTTAATAAAAGTGTAGCACACTAAAACTAACAGTAACTTAAAATTACATACCAATCAAGTAGGGATTATTTGGTAAATCCAAAAATGATTCTATATAGGAAGACTAGTATTATATATCATCATAGTGATGAGTCAAAGGAAAATGTCATAATAGATACTTAGAAGAGCATTTAACAAAATTCAATAATGTTGCAACATAACAAATAAAACTCTTAGTAAAGAAAGGATATTTCTTTAATATCAAAAAGATTTGAGACATTCAGTCTCGTTAGCCTTGAAACACTAGTTATTCATGGAAGAAAGTATATGAAACTTTGGAAGTGGGAATGAAGTGGTATACACATTAATATGGCATTAACTTACTTTAAGATTTACTTTGAAAGTACAAATAATTTTAAACTCCACTCTCCTTAAATTAATCTCTAAATTTAGCATCATAATCCCAATCAAAATCCTAACAATACTTTTGTTGGAACCTAAATCTCTGATTTTCAAGGTCTTCTGGAAAAGTAAATAAACATATGATGAGGAAGACTTGTC